CGCTCATGACATCATTGAGGTGCTCAAGCTCCAGCGCCCCGACAAGGCGGTGATCCTTTGCTGGAGATTCCATAGAATACTGGGGTTTATAGTTTGTTGTGCCACCAAAACACCCGACAGAAATGGTAAATATCTCACAAAACTACACATCCCAGAATTCCATAGCACTGAGCTATTGTAGTTCACATGGTTTCAAACTGCTATAATTCTGCAGTGTGGATGCAACCATAGCTAGAGTAGTCAGCGGTGAAGCAGAATGCGAACTGCAGCCCAACAACCTTATTTGCCAAACTGACAGGCATTAAAAATCCCACTTTTGATATCAAATGGCAATACAATTATTGATACTAATCAGGTTTGGGTTGGGAGCTCTGTCTTAAAGGAATGGTGATTGACTCTTTTTCTTTTTTAAAAACCTACAGGACATGCAAAAAATCACAGGAAGTTTAAGAGGAGAAGCAAAACAGGACAGTGGCCTCCTAATACCATGTTGTCTGATATACAGTCATTGAAACACAGCTTAGTTTCAGAACAGTTTCCTGCAACCAATAAAAACAAGACAAGCAGTATCAGAGGAAAGAACACACGGCGAAGAACCAAACGCTTTCTCTCCTATCCTCGATATGTGGAAGTAATGGTAGTGGCAGATAGCCGAATGGTTGCTTACCATGGAGCCAACCTCGAGCACTACATTTTGACATTAATGTCCATAGTAAGTACAAAAATCAAGGATGATGTATTACATTGGGGTAGATTTTACATAGCTGTTATTAGAATCTAATCCACAGCTTCTTCAGCTTTTTCATTCGTGACCCCTTTTGGTCAGAGAAATGTTTACATGACCCTGGGTATATAGTAGTATAAAAACCAGATATTTACTGATAACAAATCATCATTTGAGACTTGCTGAACAGGCTGTTTTTTCCTTTTTATTAAGTACAGCTGGAGCATCTTCTATAGAGTCTATCATAAATATTACACAATAAATTTGTGTAAATGTCTAAAACAGACATGAGTGAGGCTCAGAAAACTTTTGCCGATTTTTGGGACACCAATATTGAGTTAAGGGGACCCCATTTAGGTTCAGGACCCACAGTTTGAGAAGCGGTGGTGTAATCAATACATTAGATATTCCAGCAGGTTACATCAAAACTAGTATTTCCTGTATATTCCGAAACTTCCAGCTTCCCACCCCAGCAAATGCTGGGATGGGAGGCAGGAGAGGAGGGGGCGTCAGCGCATTGTCACTTTGCCTGATGTGAAAGTAAGTACAGGGGATAAGGCCAGCAGCTTGTCACAGCCAGGGGCCACCACGACAGAGGGGACATCTAGGGCAGCTGCCCAGCTGCACCAAACCATGTAGATTTCCATTATTGGTAAATGCTGAAACAAGCTGGATATGTTTTACTTAAAGAAGAGAAGATATGACAGCCATATTTAATTGAAAATGAGGTGGGAGCAAGCTTGCTTTCTGGTGCTCTGTAGACTAGGAAAAGTAGCAATGGATTCAAAAGACTCTGTCTGAATATTGGGAAGAACTTTCTGATGGTAAGAGCTGATCAAAGGTGGAAAATGCTTCCTAGAATTGTGGTGAAGTCTCCTTCTCTGGGGTTTAAACAAAGGCTGGATGGCCATTTGTCATGAGTGCTTTGATTGTATTTGCTCCCATGGCAGAGGGCTGGACTGGATGGCCCTTACGGTCTCTTCCAGCTTTTTGATTGTGTGATTCTATGAGATGCTTTCTATTAGGAGTTAGGTAGGGCAGGCAATGATTGAATCTGGCACCATGCTCAGGGCGCTTCCAGTTATAAAATCTGTGTTTTATAACTGAGGCAAAAAATCCCAGGACCTGACAGCATGTCCACACACAAACCCATCAGTCCTGGGAAATTGTCCCTCGCCATCCTAACAGTTTTCCTTTGTTGCAGATCAAGATGAAAGGTAGATGGTGGACATCCAGCAGAATTTAATTGTTCTGGACCTCATATGTGCACATGCAAATATATTACTGAAAACATAAGCAGATTCTCATGTGTGCATATGAGTCCAGTGTGTAATGGAGTGAATTTTTAAAAAACCTTCTGTCAGATCTCTCTTCACCCAATTGTTAATTCAAGCTCTGTTTAATATTATAAAGTTTAAAAGAAAGAGTTTCAGAGAGTTCTAATTGTTTTCCATTCTGCTTCCCTTGAGCCACCTGTGTGTCCATGGCTCCATGTTTTGACAGCCTGATCAGCTGAACAGCTGTTTGGGGCTTTTTAAAAGCACAAGTATGCTGGAGCAGTCCACACAGGGGGAAGGAAATTGAAGCATGTGTTTTACATGACTACAGGGATATACAGTCATGCAAAGGTTCACATTTTTCAGGTGGAATTGTGCTTTAAGTGTACCTTTTTAACTCATGCTTTTCAGCTATTAACCCAATTCCACTCGCACTTTGTCTAAAGATCATTTACCCACCCACTCACCTCACTTTTAAGTCACTTTCGGGGTTTTAGCCATGTATAGAAGGGCCCTCGGCTACATCTCTTTAGCAGGAACCAGCAAAACTGACGATTGATTTCAAATCCAGCAAAAATGTCTTGTTTTATTTCTGGCTGAGCAGAACCCATCCTTTGCTATTGGGCCTACAAAGTTCTTCTTATGTCCAGAATTAAATCAGGGTCTAGGGGTGAACATCTTCAGTGTTTTATGGGGTGGGGGTAGGGGCATTGTTGCTTCCTTGCTAGCTTGTATGATTATAAACACTAACTTAAAGTTTTTCTTTATTTCCAGGTAGCATCTATATATAAAGATCCAAGCATTGGCAATTTAATTAATATTGTTGTTGTGAAGTTAGCTGTCATTCCTAATGAACAGGTAATTACTTTTCAGATTGTGTCTTACTTTCCTCATCCACACCCTTCACACATTTTATCTCCTTGACATATCTCTAGTGACTTGTTATCGTTAATTATTCTTTCAAGTACATCCCTTTGCAACTGGAAAAACACAGTGTGCTCTGCCCAAAGGATCACCAAGACCTGGCTGGATAAGGCAGGCAACTCGTGTTTTGACTGCCTCTGATATTGGTGGTAGTTAGAAAATTATTTGCTAATCTTTTTATCTTAATTTGCTGTCTTATGTCTGCTGTTTTTTATGTTGTACTGTTTTAATTGCAGATTTGTTTCGTATGCTTTTATTTTGGTCTTATTGGTATCTGTTGTCAGCCCAAAAAGTGACATGCAAAAATGTACAGTCAGCCTTCTGAATACAAGGATTTTGTATCCACGAGTTCAACTGTTCATGGCTTGATAATATTCCTAATTTGCCAAAGCAAACTTTGATTTTGTTTCACTTTATATAAGGATCACAATTTTATGCCATTGACTATAATGAGACTTGAGATCTGCTGGTGTTTGCACCCTGGAACCAAATCCCAGTGGATGCCAAGGCCCCATTATAATAGTACTTGTAATGGATCTTACTTCTGAGTAGATATTCCTTAATGATCTAGAATGGTATAGTGCTTTGAATGTCAGATTAAGACTCCAAGAGATCAGAGTTTGAATCCCCGCTTAGCTATGAAAACCCATTGGGTGATCCTGGGCAAGTCACTCTCTCTCACCTTAGAGAAAGGCAAGGGTAAAACAATATTGAAGAAACCTTTCAAAGGCAAAAAAGGGATAAATGGGGAATGGTAGTTTATAAGAAATTGTAATACTTTTTGTCTGTTTGAACCTAGGATGGTCCTTCCATATCTTACAATGCTCAGACGACACTAAAAAACTTTTGCCAATGGCAGCAAACTCAAAACCATCCAAATGAAGACAATCCAGAGAAACATGACACGGCTGTATTAGTGACAAGGTATGTTCTGGGCAGATGGTTGTCTTGGTGCGAATGAAATAGCAGTATGATTGCTGAATTGTATAATATGTTGTGTAGAACATACAATCGAAGTGTTATGGCATAGAAATTAGCATTTGGGTTATGGTGAATGGATGTGAACCAATGTTTCAGCTCCCATTTGTGATCCACAGTATTTAAATTTCTTAGAAAACAACTCTGACAACCGTGTTTTCAAAACTGAAAGGTCTGTTGCAAAGAGTTTAAAATCAGGGGAGGAAGTGGCTTCAAGAATACATAATCATTTCCATTTCAGTTGTGACTGACATGTACACATTCTTTTCCATTTTTGCTCCAATTCCCGGTCAGTTGCAAAATTCATTTTAGATGTGTGAATTTTTAAAAGGAGGTTTATCAGTAGGGTAGGTGGGTAAGTGCTGCGGAAGTGCAAGTGTTGGTTTGTGGGTGGAAGGAAACCACACGTACAAGTTGTACTGCTTTCAGTTGATACTTCTAGATTATGGTTGTAAAATGGAAAAAAAATACTATAACTGGTTATCCCTGGAGAAAGTTCTAAACCTATCCAGTATCATAGCATACACTGATGACTTAAGACAACAATGCTATGTTTTTAATTGTAAACAAAAGCAGCATCTGAATTGTATTGTGTTGGCAATATTATAAGATGTCTATGAAATAAAAGATACTGTCAGATGAATGACTCCAAGTCTGGGTAGATCCCCTGGGGACTGGAAACCTTGTTAACTACCCTAAGGATGAGTGCATATGTGGTTCTTCCGATCTTTCTGAATTAGAGGTCCCATTATGTCTAATCATTAGTTTGTTGTCTAGGAGTGATGGGTGTTCAACAAAATTTCAAGAACCTCAAGTTTTCTATGCCATGCTAGGGGAAAAACGTAACGGATTTGATTCCAGATCTCACTGAAAAGGGAGAGGATAAGGTAGATATTAGATAGTTCCATTGTTGATCATCTGAAATTTATCACGAAAATGTAGAAATAACTAGGGCTATGCACATTTCTGTTTTTGAAAATGTGCTCCGTATGGTTCAGAGGATTTGGCTGCAGAATCCATGAAAATGAATCAGGTGGGGAGTAGCCAAAGTCTTAGCTGGAATAGATCACAGCAGCCAGATCTTTTCAACTAATAGGGGCTAATAGAGACCAATAAGGCTGAGTGAGTGGCACTGACTATACCTGAGGCGGACGCAACGGTGTGTAGGCAGAGCAGCCTTACTAATCAGGAAAGCTGCTGCTTCTCCTTTACTTTATTCCCCAATCGCCTCCTCCATTCTGTCTCAAAGTGCCCGCACCTGCTTGAGGCAAATGGGAACCTGCTTTCCCAGCAGCACTTTGTGCTACACAATCATTGATGAAGTCTTGTGCTACCTTCCGAGTCATGATGAGAGTTCAGGTTTTTCTCTCTGTATGTTTCTCATTTTCTTTCTCAACCAATTAGAGACCTTGCTGATTGTGTTCATTCTCCTTCCCTCTTGTGGTGTGCACTTTGGACTTCAATTCCCAGAACCCCCTTTTGTGGGTTTTTTTAAAATGGTATGGTAAAAAGTTTTCCAAAATATTAGTAGATTGGTGAAACATTCTGAAAGTTGGCAGGCTTGCAGAAGTAAGCCAACAAGTGAGGAAAGTTTCATGTTGATAAGCCTAAAAATGATGGAGAAATGAGCCTCTAAAGTTGGTAGCAATGGACCAAATCTCTTCAGCATGAAAACAGAAACCCCTCCTGAATTTAGAAAGTTCCCTAAAAACAAAATAGGAGGCAACTGAAAACCGGACACCAAAAATTGCATGGGTTTTTTTTTATTGCACACCCCTAAAAACAACCATTTAGTTGTTCATTACCGTGATAAATTTCAGATCATCAGTGGTTGAAAGCAAATCAGAGGTCTTCCAAGTTTTATGTTGGTTCTTCTGATGCTGGAAACAAAATTTCAACTGTCTTTTGAAAAATGCAAATTAGATGTTACACTGTTAGCCGTCTTGAACATTTGGGACTCAGCAGGTTACATATAGACAGAAACTGAAAAATAAGTGTGTGGCAATAAACCCAGTATTTTTTGGATATTGGTTAAATTATGCATATTGATTGTTTATTTTAACTGATGGAAATTAAAAGCATCGTCTGTTTGCTTTCAGACAGGATATTTGCAGAGCTCACGACAAATGTGATACTTTAGGTAAGCCTAATCTCCTTTTGCTTACTCTTTAAGGTAACTATATTAACATGTTCTTGACAGAATGTTCTGTGTCTTAATTTAGACTACAAACATTATTTTGTTCTGCTTTTGGTTTCCCAGGTCTGGCTGAGTTGGGCACAGTCTGTGATCCATACCGGAGCTGTTCAATTAGTGAAGACAGTGGACTAAGTACTGCTTTTACGATTGCACATGAACTTGGCCATGTGTATGTTCTGTAACATTACCAATACATTTACAGCAACATTGGACTATATAACAAGCCTGAAATGTGCATGCCGTATAAATTGCATGATAAAAAACTTATTGTGGGGCAGGAAATTGGTACTCTGGAGTCAGGCCCGTAGCCTGGGGGGGGCTTGAGCCCCCCCCCAAAATTCAGCCCCCCCCCCAAAATTCAGCCCCCCCCCCAAATTCTCATGGTGGTTCGTGAGAAGTCCTTACTTGTACATTATTTAAACTGTTGTGTTTATTCATATCATGATCTGATCACCATGCTCAATATATCCCATATGCATGAGGGTATTGGGGTAACAATACAAAAGGTTTGCTAGGGTAGACCCCCCCCCCCCCCCCCCCCGAATCAAAATCCGGCTACGGGCCTGACTGGAGTAGCACTGTGGACTTGAATCCTGTCTTTCCTCCTATAAACAAGAGAGAATTCAATATTTGCACAGCAAAACTTTCCTGCTCTTTCCTTTCCTGTCCCACCCCTGGGCATTGCAGGAATTCTTTTGGGAATGGAGTGGGATCTAGTATAAGGGAATGAACATTGGGATGGAGTTGGCAAGAATGCATTTTCCACAGGGTTGTAGGAAGAATGTAGGATCCAAACCATATATGTTTTCTGAATTTGAAATTATTATATTACTGTGAAGTACTTTTTGCTTCAAAAGCAGGTAATTAAGCTTCATATTTTCAGTGTATTTTATTGGCAATGTATCTGACTACATGACAAGTTGATGACCTATAGATATAAACCCAATGTCATTTTAATATTCAACTATTGCACGATAGGACTTCCTTTTCCCCTTCACAACACTCCATGCTGTTGCAAATGTGCTCAGGAGATTTTCCCTTCCCTCTTGTTTGGTTTTGAGGATGCTCAGGAGTGGTATCTTGGGGATAAATACAGTTCCATCAGAGGAACAACCCCAGTGGATCCCATTCATAGTGTCCAGCCACAAGGTGGGCCATTTTTATTATATACTATATATATTTATTATACATTGTTCTCTGAAATTCTTTTCAGTTCTGAATATATATGATAATAAAACGAACAACTAGTAACAATAAAAAAGCAACCATGAAAAGAATAGAAAGGATAATAGCAGGTAGTCACAATTTGTTTTTGTGAGGTGTTTAACATTTTAACTCATTGAAGATTATATATCTATGCCCTGAAGTAGGAGTGTCACATTTAGAGATGTAAGATGTTGGGCATTCCATCTTCTAGGCAAACTTCCACTGTACTTTATTTAATTGAATATGAAACTTCATTGGAGGTTTGTGCCATACCCTCAAGGCCTACACATGTTTTCTAACCTTAAGTGCTTGAGCAATAATCATAAAAATTAAATTCTCATTTGCGCACTTAGCTTTACTTTGAATTGTTGCATAAAATTTAGGGAGTGCATCGTAATTATTTGATTTTGAAAACATAAAAACACGAATCTCTGAAATATATTAATAACAACGATTTCAGATGGCTCTCAAAACTTTGCATGATTTAAGTTTCATTTGTAGTAGCTAAATCATCATCTGGAGCTCACTGAAGTCCATTCTGTGTTTTCAAAATCATCTGTAGTCTCAGCTGTCGTCATCTATTCTTTATCTCAAATGTTGCCAGTGATGCAAAGACAGTAGATAAATGGTTTGGAAGTAAAATGCAAACTTGTTGAATGCAGTCTCTTATACAAGAAGCACTTTGAATACTATGGAAACATGCAGCAGGAGCTATTAATGCCTAGCTATGCCTGCAGTGCAAATTTATGGTGCATTTCTGGCAGAGTTTATCCATCTAGAAAGCTGTCTTCTGTCTTCTACTTTACCAAGCATCTCTATCTCTGTTGGTGAGTCATAATGTCTCATGTCCAAACTACGACACTCTCTGTTCAGTCATCTTGGCTTCCAGGGAGAGTTGAGACCCATTTATTTGTTTTTAGCAGCTCCCTCTATTTATTTATTTATTTATTTATTTACAACATTTCTATTTCTCTTTTCTCCACCCCGAAGGGAACTCAAGGCGGTTTACACATAGGCAACTATTTGATGCCATAAAACAATATACAATTAAAATAAAGATTTAAATAGAATTATAAAATACATTAAAACAATGAAAAACATTTAAGACAATATTTCCACAATTAATCACGTAATCCTCAAGTGTAATCTAGGCCATTCCAATAGTCATTGCACATCATTCCATATCTATCTATTGCACAAGTTCTCCAAATGCTTGGTCACATGTTTTCACTCTCTTACAGAATGTCAGGAGGGAGGGGGCTGATCTAATATCCCTGAGGAGGAATTCCACAGCTGAGGGGCCACCATTGAGAGGGTCCTGTCTCTTGTCCCTGCCAATTGTTCCTGTGAAGGCGGCGTGACTGAGAGCAGGGCCTCCCCAGGCGATCTTAAACTCCACAGAACTCTTGAAAAGCACCATATTCTAAATGAATTGATTTCTTTTCCCCATTACTCACCAAAACTATACATAGTTTGGACAATCTTAGCCATACTTCAGGATCCTACCAAGTTCTTGTCTTCTTCTGATTTCTTGACTGCAATGTCCATTCTAATTAATGACTGGGTGAAGGTATGGAAAATCTTGAAATATTTCAATACTTTCATTAATAACCACAAGCAATTTATATGACTGCATGGGTAAACTACAAAAATATAATATATAAAACAAATACTATATGAAGAGAACAGGGATGAGAAAAGTTGAGTTCTTGCAAAATTGCTGAGCTATAACATTCTAAACAATGTAACAAGTTCTTTTGTAGTGACTCATTTTGCATGTGTTTTCCCTCCTAAAACTGCTGATTTTCCATGTTTTCATTTTGATTTCTGTTGGTAGTTTGTAGGGATCAGGTCCTACATACAGTTTGCAAATTTTGTTCATTTCATTGGTAGTGACTGGGGTTAGAAACCACCCTAAACAGGAAGCTTTTTTTTTTTTGCTCTTTTAGCAGAGTGCAGAATTTGTTCATTGGAGTCGAGCTTAATGGAAATGTAAACTCAACAGCCTTCAAATTTAGGATCACACCAGGTCATTTCCTCTCTTCCACTTCAAGTAGCAAGCAGCTTAAGCTGTTCGGCCTCTGTAGCATATTTGCAACATTCTTTTATATATCATGTGCTGCAAACCCCATAGGTGGTTTTTTTATTTTAAAAAAAGATACTGATATTGATGCTTGATGGCATGTAGTAATTGCACCACATTAAAAAGGGGAGCCAAATTCATCCCTGGAGTATAATTGTCCCTGGAGACTAACTCTGTATAATAGATGATAGCAGGAATATAATGTACACGGATGACTTAAGCTGAGAGTTCTGCTTCATTAGAAAACTTTGCTACGAGAAACTTATACTCAATTTTGTTTCAATGCAAGAGGATTTACAGTCATGACAAATAGGCATTTAGTTGTCCCCAACAGGAATTGGGGGACCCTGAGGGTCATACATCAAAGAAGGGATCCGCATTTGAAAGCACTTCAAGATTAAAAAGGGGACTATTTCCTTGCACCCTGCTACAGTAGGGCACATGTGGACAAAGTATGCCCTCAGATACTATTTTTTGGCCTCTCAAACCTTCACTAGTCCTTAAAGCTTCCTTCCAACATTATTATGTTTGGCATTTTCAACCACCTTTTATCCCCAAGCAATACAAAAAGCCCTCCAAATATATAGAAAAATGCAAACATATGCCCACCCACACAAATACTCTACAGTTTCATAGCACCTCAGAAACCTTCATTTTGCCCTGAAGTACCTGTCAAAATGTTGTCAGGAAATGATGCAATGGTGCTTACTGTTGACAGTTTGGAAAGAACTGCAGAAGAAAACAGGGTTATTTAGGCTTTGCTGAGAGGGAGCATGCAACCCACAGACAGTTGTCCACCTCAGCCATAAGGGAAAAGCTTTATTCTCAAAGGTTACTGAGTGAGTGAACAAAAGGGAAATCAAGGAATAGTGATTCACGACCATCAGTGAATTGATAGTAAGTGCAGGTACCTCTTACACACTGACCAACATATGACATGAACCAGCATGTTATTAAAAATGTGGTGGTGTTTTTTAATAACTATTAGGCCAGAAGAAAGAATAGAAAAACAATGTAACAGGAAGGAAGAACGTAACTATATATGAATGTCTCCAATCCAAAGGACAGGAAATCACCACAATGGGAAGGGTGGAAGGAGGAAGGGAATAGTCAAATACAATTACTGTAGATGTTAGGTATTATTGTACTGGTCCATATATAGGTAAAGGTAAAGGTTTACCCTTGACATTAAGTCTAGTCATGTCTGACTCTGGGGGATAGTACTCATTTCCATTTCTAACCTGAAGAGCCAGCATTGTCCGTAGATGCCTCCAAGGTCATGTGGCTGGCATGACTGCATGGAGTGTCATTACCTTCTCGCTGAAGCGGTACCTATTGATCTCACAGTTGCATGTTTTCAAACTGCTAGGTTGGTAGAAGCTGACACTAACAAAGGGTTTAACATATTGCACCACCGGGGATTCTGCTCCGTGTATATGTGTGAGTATGTGTGTGCGCAAGCGTATGCCAAATTAAAAAATATATAACATGCATGATTTCATAGCATTAAACCATGACAATTTTAAAAAAAATGTGCAGGGTTTTTTAAACATGGGATAAATCTGCAATCACAGGTTTACCCAGGACTATATTGCATATTGCAAATTTAAAGATGGAGTTAGATTGGCTCTTATAAGGTGTATTTCTCTGTATGTGGCTGCATGTGTCTGCGCGTCATCAAAAATAGCCATGCATGTCAGTGCATCACAGGCCTAGAGAGTCGTTTGGATGCCCCAGATTAATGCATCATTACACTGCATTATGTGTTAGTGTAGATGGGCCCAAAGACTGCTGTTAGGAGTTGTCTGTATGCTATATAAAAGAGCTATGCTTAGTGATTTTTCAAAGAGAGGTAATCTGATCTATTCTTTATAGTGCTACATATTGAAATGGTATACATGGGCATGAATTAGGGGTCCAATGTTTAAAACATTTTAAACAGGACCTGGCTGGTTCTATAAAACTTGTTGCTGGCAGCATGCTGTATTGTTTGCTATCTGTGAGTCAGTAGAAAGTCTTCATTTGAAAAATCCTTTCCATCCTCTTGACTTCCAAAACCTAGAAATGTATCTTTACCTTTCTTGAGAGAAAACTTTTTTAAAAAAAAAAATGTAAAATGCCTTTGCTCCCAAATGCAAATCCTTGAATCCAAACAAATAGTTGAATCTGTAAATTGTTTTAAATCTTCACAGAATATGAAAGCACAAATGGGCTATTGAGTTGTATTTGTTTACTGCTCACTTCCCTTTCGAATAATAAACACATCACTTCAGCTAACTAATTCCATAAGTGCTTTTAAGTCTCATTGATTTTAGCAAACTATATGCTTAAATCTTTTCAACTGAAATCCATGATATTTTGACTTTGGCAGGGTTGTACCTTTAATTGCCTTCTTTCTAAAATTCAAGTTAACATAGTCATCAATATGCTGTTTGTTTAGATTTAATATGCCGCATGATGACAACAATAAGTGCAAAGAAGATGGAGGTAAAAACCAGCAACATGTTATGGCTCCCACCCTGAACTACAACACCAATCCCTGGATGTGGTCAAAATGTAGCCGGAAATACATCACAGAGTTTCTAGAGTAAGGTCTTAATTAATTCCATATTTGTTTATCTGTCTGTTGGGTACTGTATTGGGCAGAAAAGTGTGGGAAAGCTGCATGCAAATGTATGGATGAGGATGATATTCAAAAATTGGAAAATTACTTTTTAAAAAAGTATTAATTTATTACAACATTTATATTGAGAAACAATGAGGCAGCATTGAACAATTATACATCACTACTTGCAGCAATTAGTTACAGTTGTAGAACAAGCAGCCTGTACTTAAGGTAGTTGACTACTGCTTTACTGTACTTGTAAGTCTTAAAAAAAACTTTACTTTCCTAATTTTCTCAAGAAATATAAATATCAAGTATTATTTATTTTCAGATATCATGATCCATTCTTTTCAGGTTTTGAATTGATACTTGCAAATGTGAAATGTGAAATGAATATGATTAAGTCAATACATATGTTATATGTACACATTTTCCCATTCCGTCTATTCACTTCCATATGCTACATGTGCTTGAAAGACTTGTCATGGTTCATTCATACTAATTACATTGTTTTCCTTCACTGCACGAAGTAGAAGATGAATAAAAAAATGGGTCAAAATGACATTAAATATATTATATAAAGAGAAAACGTGCTTGAAAATGTTTTCTTGAAAATAAGTGGGATCTGCCACAAAATATTGGAGTGCATCCTATCATTTTGATCAGAACTTTTGTTTAAGCTATCAGCCAGTTCTACACACTGTTCTCCCAAAATTTGCTCCTTCCCCTCACTACTGCTAGTTATCATTGTAAGTTTAGTCATCACTGGATAGTTGTAGGGGATGATTGACCTTATTTGCTTTTTAAAATAAATTCTCTATGTTGGCAAATTTTGGCAAACCCCTTTTTGATAGCTGATTCTCAGGATTGTTGCTTTTAGCTTTTTGTGTGATGAATAGTCTTCCTAAATATGAATATGAATAAGATCAGATAGGTAAGATATAGTGTATCTTGATGTCTACTTCATCTGGGCACTCAATGCCACTCAATAATACCACTCCACATGTGAAAACATGTGTGGGCATGTGATGTGGATTCACTTCTTTCTTGGTTTTCTATATGCTATACGTAGCAAAAACTAAAATCAAGCTGGCAGTCTGAAACAAAATTTGCCTGCTCAGAAAGCTGGTAGAGGTATGTGTCTGGTGAAAAGAATTATGCAAGTTTTCACTGATACAATAAAACATAAACTATCTGCTGTTATGCAGTCCAGCAGTTTTATAGCATGGTTGCAATTATCATGTAGTCTAACATCACAGTGAATCTGATTTTTTTTTTCACATTGGTAGCTTCAAAATAGATTTAATGTTGGGTAGTAATTCTCTGTTGAATACTTTAAAATGATCATAACTTTTCCCGTACAACCATGAAGATAAATGTAACATTTTTTTATTCCAGTACTGGTTATGGGGAGTGTTTGCTTGACGAACCTTCACCCAGGAGGTATCCTTTACCCCAACAGCTTCCAGGACACATATATGATGTCAATAAGCAGTGTGAGTTAATATTTGGCCCCGGAGCTAAGGTTTGCCCTTATATGGTAAGATGCTTTTCTTCTATCATTGCCTTCCTTTCATCCCTTTATTCTTGCTTTAATTAAGACAAACCAAACCAAGGAGAATACACTGGAAATAATACTGTCTTCTGAACAATATGACAGCCTGTTTGACTAGATTTGTAGTTTTCAGTTCCCAATAACAGATTACCCCATATTTCTGCCTTCTTGCGTATGCCGCATCCTCAAGAGTATGAAAGCCACTTTCACGTAGTGCTATCTCTCATGGCTATGGTACATGCATGGATGCCACAATAAGTGGGAGTAGGTCATCCTGTAGACTTTTCACCCAATCAGTGCCATGCCTTCTTGCTACTAGAAAAATGTATTTGATCAATTGTTCCTACTAAAAAGACACATCCATGAGCTGGGAGCATTCACATAAACTCTCAGTAGTAGTGACATGGGAGAGCTCCACAGCAAACCACAGGAGATAAATCTGGATATATATATAAAGAAGGAAACTGATTAGCAATTTTCAGATGTCTAGGTTTTACTATAAACTAGGGATAAAATGTAATAGATGGATATAAAACAGGATGGGTGGTAGACAAGTTGGTCATTGTGGTCCTTTCCAGCTGAATTTTTCTGGAATTGTAAAATTAAAATCACGTATTCATATTATAGGCTATCATTCATGGCTGAGTAGGATTGTCCCTTATTAACATCACAGGAATGAGAAACAATAACTTAAGAGATAACAAAGAAAAAGGGTTTCATACAAGTCCCAACTATTTATTATTACAGTTGTTTTGCATGTTTTTGATATTTCTTAATTTACTTTTAAAATTTCTAAACTACATCATCAGGTTTCAGGGTAGACTAAAATTGCTACATTCACCTGAAAATAATTTAAAACAGCAGCCATGAAATTGCTAATGCCAAGGTAATGACCAGGCTGTTGTTTACAAAATGTTCAGCATCAAGGTGACCGTTCGAAACTGATGGTAAACAAAAGGAGCCAAAGACAACATGCCTATTCGATGTAATTAACTTTAATTGCATATTGTTTTCATCACCATGCCAGGTGCTAAACTGCTATTGGAAGTGACACACACACACATATTCCAGTGTTTGTTTTTCGGATGGGGGGGGGGGAATGCAGGGGGAGATACTGTTCTGAGGATTCAGAAGCTTAATGACTTAAGGCTTTGTATCCATATGACATCCCAAACTTTCAAGAAAGCCCATCTTTGTTGGAGTTCTGACAGGTTACACCCTTATTTAGCAACCTGCAGATTTTAAAAGATGTTTTCATTTTGCTTTAGCTTTTATTGTATATACTATAAAAACATATTAGAGGCAGATTGAATGGAAAAGGCAAGGTTCCCATGATGCAATCTTATTTCTAAGTAACCAAAACTTCCTAATTGTCCAGATTTGGTGGTTTTCAACTGAATTTTAACAGGAAATATTTAACCACTTTCCCATAATATGACTTCCAACTATTTCTGTGTGGGTACAGACTCAGCTGCAAGGCCATCTGCAAATCCAGGCGTTTAAGCAAAAACGTTATCTGTCTGCAGCCTTAGACAAAATTCCTTCCTCTATTTTATTGTTTTCATTGTTTATACTTCCTTTCTCAGTGATGATAATAACACCAGAAAGATAATCTAAAATGTATATGTGGCCTGTAGCATATGTTAGACTGGCTGTTCAGTAATGCTGAGACCATTTGAAATCACTTAAGCAGAAGCAGTGCAGAAGACTTTGGTGCATCAATGCAGATGGAGCTCATAAAGGATGTCGCACTCAACACACGCCATGGGCTGATGGAACCGAATGTGGCCAAGGGAAGGTCTGTTATTGCCACTGTTACTATCTTTTGGTCCTTCAACACTGTGTAGACAGAAGCACTGGTGCCATTATTATCTTAGTGCAAGGAGAAAACTTTTGATCACTTGATATATTATTATAGCAACAGGGTTTTAAAACTGCTACATCACAGTTCAATGCTTGTTCACAAACCATCTGACTGCTGAGGAGAGCCAATTTTCTGTTTTCTTCTTTTAGTTGTTCTTTTGATATTTCCTGCTCTTTCTCATAAAAGGCCAAGGGTGGCTAATATCCAACATGAAACACAATACAACAGCCAAACACCATTAAAATCTTAATTCTAGTATCACAGATGTGGATTTGAAGGCTCCAAGAATAGTTTTGTACTGTATTCCTGGACGGCTTACTGTGTACACTTGTGTATAAGGGCACATCTACAATGATCACTTAAGGTGGGACAAAACGGTCAGAGGAGGAAGCAGTTCGGACATAGAGCTGATCACATTTCAAGTCCTGGAAGCTGGTCAGGGCCTGAGCTGTGCTTTGCTTATACACACTGGAGAGGCTGAAATTTCAGGACACAAGTGCTCAAAACTTCAAAGTGCACAATTTATGTTATAAACAGGTTTTATTCAGAAGCAAAGACCGTCATGTGCCAAAGGCCCATTCTCAAGGTGATTTGCAATTAATTGGGATTAAGCATCTGTACTACAAACTACTGACATTAAATCTTGAGCTGAATTTCCCCACTCAGAGAAGCTATCTTTTAAAACATTTTCTACAGCTTGTAGTCCTGTACAGCCAGTGTACTGAGACTAATGTTTTGCCTCAAGTCTTCTGGTATGACATATAGACTAGTCAACAAAATACAATGCCGTTGTTGTTGTTTTGTGAAGGTAATATCTTTGGAGACTTGAAAGCTTTTTATGGCCAAGACATTTGACAGTAAAAGCCTTATAGGCATTCTTAATTTAAGACTCCTTGTTGCATTAGACATGTGTATTGGGTTAGACATATTTCAAATATGATAGCATTGAGCTAGGAAATATTAAATCTCATAGTAATCCAGACTAAAATTTTGGACATTTGGGGGCAAATGCTTGCTACTTCTACTTCTTTTCATTGTGGGTCAACCTGTTGCCAATTTGACACACTCATAACTTCAAATGCCAACCATGATGGAGTGTTCAGTTTTATTACACTCATGATTGACACTGAGGATTTCATTTAAGTACTCAGTCTTCTAGTTGAGCCTTCTGCCTTCGATTGTCAACCCTAATCTGTATAAAACATGTGTTGAATGAGTTTTGCGTGCTCAAAAGCCAAGTGGTCTGTTCTATGGCAAGCATGATTGCTATTCACATTTTTCCCTGCACATGGCAGCTGTTCCACAAGATGTTCCTCCTTTGGGATAGCACTGTCTTATTGATCCCATGTGTGTCCTTATTTATGACAGATGTCGAAATTATATGCCAATATGGAAGGTTAGTATAGCGACTGAGCTCAACATTCTTAAAAATTTGAGAATTTTTCCTTGGTGGGGAGTGATATGGTTACATTTAAGCCATGTTATTCCCCCACCCCCCAGAATAGATTATACCTAGTGCACTTGCATTTTTCAGTCAGAGATATATGAATCCAACCAGATGTTTTTACATCTTTCTACATATTTACATCCTATTTCCACTTTCCACATGTTTTGAGAGGTTCTTCCAACATGTCTGATCTGGAAATGTGTCTCTCCTACTGACACATTGTGACATCGAACCTGTAATAAAAAAAATCAGGCAGGCTGCTTTCCCCAGAAGCTGTCACAACTTAGGCTTCCTGTTTTGGATCAGTGAAGGGATACAACTCAATGGCTTGGGGAGCTGTCTGTCACTCTGAGGGCCTCAGGAGTTTGTCTGCTCTTCATCATCTGGGAAATCAGAGCCATTTGTGCCTTCTGTAGTCATGGAATTGGCAGAAATGTATTAACATGTAATTTATATCCACTAGTGCATTTCAGGTATATAATTTATAGTCACTGGTCCATTTCAGATACAAGCAATGGTTTAAGTTAACAATGGGCAATTGACTTCCCAGATATTGTTGCACTGCATCTCAGTTGAAGAGATAAAAGGGGGATATAAATCATCAACATCTATGGCCTCTCACTATTGTCTATACTGACGAGGACTGATCACAGCTGCAGTCCAACAACATCTTGAGGGTAACAGCTGGCTGCCCTTGCCGTGGGTTTGGTAGGCAATTATGGGATGTTGGGAGGTTAGAATCAGATTCACTAGAGACCACAGAATATTTATCACCCACTGTATATTCTGGAAAAATAAAATACCCTCTGGAAATAACAAAAACAGCCCTGTGTGATACAGGCTGCATTTTCTCCACTTCATACTAGGTGAAGGAGCTTGTCCCAGACAAGGACAGTGGAAATATCTGATGCCCCATTTAAACAAACTGTAGTTGTCTGTGATGTCTTAACTCAGCAAGCTGTGACTTGTGGAAACCCTGGGCCTCTGTATACATTGTCATATAAAGCAGTTTCGATTTGCATTATATGGCAATGTAGATGAGACCATAGTGTCAAAACAAACCAAAATCTGAAAGTTGAGTTTTTGCTGCTCATAGGTACTTTGCAGCTACTTCCCTTTCATATCTTCTTTTCAGGTAAACCTTAGCCTACCTTATTTGAAAAAGCTGAAAGGGAAACTGCATAGCATAAATACGCCAAACAATTTTGCAGCTGGTTACAAAATCCAATTCATGCTTTATATTTTTTTAAAAAAGTATATTCTTAGACATCCAACATATTTATATACTGTTGTATCATCTAACATCTAGGAGCCCCTGGTGGCACAGTAGGTTAAACCACTGAGCTGCTGAACTTGCTAACCGAAAGGTCGGCGGTTCGAATCTGGGGAGCAGAGTGAGCTCCTACTGTTAGTTAGTCACAGCTTCTGCCAACCTACCAGTTCGAAAACATACAAATGTGAGTAGATCAATAGGTACTACTCTGGCGGGAAGGTAATGGCGCTCCTTGCAGTCATGCCAGCCACATGACCTTGGAGGTATCTATAGACAACGCCAGCGCTTCATCTTAGAAATGGAGATGAGCACCAACACCCAGAGTTGGACATGACTAGACATAAATGTCAGGGGAGCACCCTTACCTTTACCTATAATCTAAGTAACTCTGATACTGAAAACACTGGATATGACCAGTGTTCTAAAATGAGAATATAATTCTGCTTACCTTTGGTTATTTAACTCTCCTTGTGAACACATCATAGGACTTAAACTAACTCTAGAGAATGGTACAAGATTCTTCCTATTTAAACCACTGTGGTAATCTCAACTTTTTGTATTCTTCTTATACTGTTTCCTTGCTTCATCTATGTTCTCAGAGAATAGAAGGTGAAGAGTGCTGTCTAGATTTTATACTATTATGTATTTCTATTTTTCTCCTTTTTCTATTATAAACTCATTATAAGAATAAAAATTATATTTTAACCAATTCAAAATCTATCATCACAACATTGCAAAGCACTGAGGACATTAATTAGAATGCATACATATGTTCCTCAATTAAGACCGCACCCTCCTCGTGATTCTGAAAAAGTATTTTATAGGAAGGAATTTTAAAAACAGGTTTTTAAAACTGATAATAATGTCTATCTCAAATTAAATTTAGAATTCTAGAATCCAGATCAAAGCAATGAACTGGTGTTGTAAAAGTCTTTCTGTTGTTCTTCCTTTTGGAGTTTAGCACTGCAAGTTTGGCCACTGTGTTCCCAGAGAGAGGGAAGTACCTGTGATAGATGGAACATGGGGTGCATGGAGTCCCTTTGGAGCTTGCTCACGAACGTGTGGTGGGGGCATTAAAAATGCTGTCCGAGAATGCAACAGACCAGAGTAAGTACAGAACTGCTGAAGGAAATACATGAACTGTGTCTATCTTTCTCTTTAAGCTGGTTGTCCTGGCCTAATAAATCATGATATGAACAAATGATGTGCTAGTGAATATACAGCATATATTCTAGACTTAATGCCAGGGGAAAACCTTTACTAATAGGGGATAATATCACATCTTGCCATATAACTGTAATTTTTGCTTACTTTTAGAATTGCATGTGGTGTAACCCCATTACATGGTGAAGGGAAATGTCCCATTGTTAAATTTGTTGCTTATGCTGTGCTGTGTGCTGTGCTGTGAACAAGGAGAAATGTGTATGTCATCCCACAGTCCAGCAACTTGTAGTATTCAGAATATGTTGCTTGATTTAAATCTTTTCAATCCATCCCATATCACAAACTCTTAGGATGATATACAAGGAAAATCCATGTTAAGGAATTAAAATAATATGAAACCCTAAAAAAATCAAATATTACATTAATGTTAAACAAGTGGTCCGATCAAAAACAGGTTAAGATTAAAACAATTTAAAACCATATGTATAAATATACAGGAATTAATCAGTTGGACTCCAAAATCTTTGTGGAATACATTTGATCTTACTTGGCACCTAAATAAAGCCATCATTGTTGCTAGTTGATCCTTCAAAAGGAGGGCATTTCACTATTGGGGTGCCAGATCTATGAAGGTCCAGTACTGACTTGTGACCACCCATTGCCTTATCCCCCATGAAAGCATTTCCTCCTCTTTTAGAACTGTGCTTTATGGCAGCAAATTCCATAATTTATTTACATGTTGCACTTCTAAAGAATCCAACCTCTATGCATTTCTCAGAGACAGCAAAACAGCTGTAGCTGCTTGTCCAAAGGACTAAAACAATTGCAGTGAGACCAAAACCATTGTAATCTGGCTATAACTATTTTAAAGATTTATTTTAAAATACCAATAACTTTTTGGAGACCTTGAAAGCATTGTGTCCTTGTGTGCCTACAAGTTGTTTTTGACATATGGTAGCCCTAAGGCAAACCTATCACAGGGTTTTCTTGGCAAGATTAGTTCAGAAGGGGTTTGCAGTTTTCTTCCTCTGCTGCTGAAAATGGTAACTTGCTCAAGGCAATTTTATGGGTTTCTGTGATCAAGCAGGAATTTGAACCCTGGGATCCAGAGTTTTAGTCCAACTCTAAAACCACTACACAACATGGGCTCTCTCTTAGAAATATAGCAGCAACAAATTGCTTTTTCAAAGTGATATTCCAAGCTCTGCCTGAATGTAAGGATATTCTTGTATCAAAAATAAGCCTAAACTATACGTAACCCATCACTGTGTTCACTGAGTCTCAAAGAAATATATGATTGCTAAAAGTTGAACCCCAAACCTGTTGAGGCTATGGATCTTTTGAGAAGTATTCCTCCCAAACTATTACACAGATTTTGTAAGGAAATCGTGCCATTGGCACCAATTGAAGAGTCCCTCCCAATGTCAGTTCTAACTTCAGATCCTCCTCAGCATTACAGTTAAAGAAGAAAAAAAGAATGGTGTCACCCTACTTCTCCTTGCCTGGTGCACTCCTTAAACGAGTAATTCCCATACATATGTCCTCTGATGTTTGCAGTAGTGAGATGTTTTCTTGAGTCATTTGGAGCCACTAAGCTTCTCGTTCACATCACACCCTGACCCTGAAAAGAGGATTTCCAGGTGTGGGAGGAGGAGGAAGCTTCTCATTGAAAGAGAATCTCTTGGGCACACATAATAATGTGTCCAGTTGTTTGGATCATTGCCATAGTCTGCACAAAAATACCCTTCAAAAAGACAGAACTTTCAAAAAATAATGTAGACGCCTTACATTCATTCCTTGCTTCTTTGCTAAACAAGGGCATCTGTCAGCGACTCACTTCTTTGCCAAGTTGTCAGGAGTGTAGACGTTGACATTGACCAAGTAAAGCTCTAGGGATGATGAGGTCAGTAACAATTGCAGTTTCTGCAACAACAGGGGAAGCTCTTTTCCAGACATGTTCAGCAAGGAAGTAAAGCTCCAGTGACTGATTCCAAGAGAACTATCCAGCTGATGTCATAGTTTGAAGACTGCAGTGAATATGGCTTGCCCTGGGATAAACAGAAATTGTGTGTTTATGATAAACAAAGAGTCCCCTGTGTTGTTACTTTATCCGTTGGTTTAAAGGTGTGTGAGGATTGTGTGGCCATAAAAATGTTGTAGCGCTTAAAGTCATGGCAGCCCAAATCAGTATGGTTAGTGATGAAGAACCCTGGGGATTTTAGCCTAACAACATCTGGAGTGTGATATAGTTCCAACCTCAATTTACATTGACCTATAAAATGTAGGTCTAACTACCATAAAAATGACAGATCCATCTTGATCTTGGAATGGTTTTTTTTCATGTCAGGAGTGATTTGAGAAACTGCAAGTCGCTTCTGGTGTGAGAGAATTGGCCGTCTGTAAGGACGTTGCCCAGGGGACAGCTGTATGTTTTTGATGTTTTATCATCCTTGTGGTAGGCTTCTCTCATGTCCCCACATGGGGAGCTGGAGCTGATGGAGGGAGCTCATCCACGCTCTCCCCAGATTCGAACCTGCAACCTGTCGGTCTTCAGTCCTGCCAGCACAAGGGTTTAAACCATTGTGCCACCAGGGGCTCTTGGAAGTGAAGCAAGATCACTCCAGTTTAGTACTTGAATGTGAGACTGCACATGAATACCAGGCGCTATAAGCAATATTTCAGAGGAAGGAACTGCAAAACCACTTCTGACTATACCTTGCCAAAGAAAACCCCATGAAATTCACGGTTTTGCCATAAGTTGGCAGGTAACTTGAAAGTACATATGTGTACACACACACATATATACACAAGATGTGCAAGCTTGTATTAGCACATTTATATGTCTGCATGGCCCATTGAACCACACAAGCACAATAAGCTTTTGATGGCATTTCTCACCTCAGTGCCACATTACTCTTTGCTGGCTGAAACATCACAGAGATTTTACAATTTCTGTTTAGTGGAGTGAATTTATTGGTCAAAGTTCCCTTCACTCGAGACAAAAGAACTAGAGAGATTTTACAAACTCTTGTTTTTAGTGAGCTTTTTCTTCACGTGATGAAGGAAAACAGCATGTCTCTGTTGCGTGATAAAACCCACTACAAGAACTGGGACTGAAAATCCTGGAAATCCTACTTCTAAGATGTTATAAATGCTATGTATATGTTGGTACAAGAAAGAAAATCCAGGTCTTACTTTTAAAGGCCTTTAAAAGCCATTCCTCCAAATCCTGTTTCAGTGAAGTCTCCTTGTATTTTTATTTATAGAAATACAAAGTGTTTCTGGCTTATGGAGACCCTAAGGTTGTTTTTTGTTATTTATGTTGTTTTTGTTGCTGCTGCAGAATTGTTTCTTATTTGTGTGTGTGTGTTGGGGGGGGGGGGGTTGCCTTCTTCTGAAACTGAGAAGGTGTGATTTGCCCACAGTCTCCCATGGATGAATGAGATTTATTTATTTATTTCATAGACTTTTACCCCACTCTTCTCCCTCCAAGGGGGGACTCAGGGCAGTCTCACATAAGCACCGTATGATACTATCATCATACAAATAGTCAACAAATACATTAAAACGTTAAAACAATAGATTAGTAATGTGTACAATGCTATCATCATACAAATAGTCAACAAATACATTAAAACATTAAAACAATTCATTAAAACAATAGATTAGTCATGCCAGTTAAAACCAAAACCAAGTTTAGGATTAACAAAGTCTGGGGAGATGAACCCTGTTCTACAGAATAGTTGTCAAATGCTCAGATCACTCTACCACACTGGCTCTCCAAGGAATGTTTCATCCACATTGCAGAATCCAGGGGATTCTGGGATGTGTGTTTTTGAAATATTTACCCTTCTCTGTCAAAGAGCTCTGGTGTCACAATGAACTAGAAATCCCAGGATTCCATATAATTCTGCAGCATGTCTAGGAAGCCATGGATACTTTTGTGGCTGGATCCATGGATGTCTATCAGAGTTATCTGCTTCTGAGCAAAATAAATTCATTTGGTAATACTTTGTTACCAAATGAATTGTTTGACACAGCATTTTATTTGAGAACACAAAAATGCTGGACCACTCTCACAACCACCATGTCAGACTACACAGAGAAGCCATTGAAATACACAAACATGTGGACAATTTCAACAGAAAGGAGGAAACCATGAAAATGAACAAGATCTGGCTACTAGTATTTAAAAAAAATCTAAAATTGCAACAACAAAAACAGCAGAGAGGAAACAGGCAGGGACATCTAATTACCTTTCAAGAAGAGTTTGCTCCAGGCACAGTCAGCCCATTGTATGCTAATCAAGGTGTTCAGTTGAAATATTCACACCTAGCCCAACTGACAAAAGTCCTTTGTCTCACCCTGGTCATTCCACAGATATATAAACCCTTTTTCCCAGTTCCGACAGACCTCACCTCTGAGGATGCTTGCCATAGATGCAGGCGAAACATCAGGAGAAATGCCTCTAGAACATGGCCATATAGCCCGAAAAAACCCACAAGAACTTAATACTTTGTATTGTTGAAAGAACTCATTTTACAGTGGGTGGAGGAGACCATGCTGTTTACATTGTAAGAATGGTTTAAGCAATAAAACAAGTACATAGTGTGATGAATGGGTTCCCACCTCCTTGCTGCTTGTGTCAGAAAAATGTTTGCCCAGGAAATAGATTGCTTATAGCTATCTCTGGTTTTGCATGTCTTTGCCAAATTTCTTGCAAACCCTTTGAAGTTAGTGATACTTGGGTGTTAAACTGAGGCTAAGGATGCTGACAGCTAGAGACACTTGCTAGAGGATATCCTGTTGAAAGAAACATTGGGGACTAAGGGAGCGGTAATCACATAGAAAAAGCTACGCAAATGTAATGAGGGCCAGACCAGAAGTATCTCTCCTTGATCTCCATTGAAGGCGTTATTGTACCACCAGATTTTTAAAAGATT